ACTATTACATAGGTACAAAAATATATATCTTAAATAAATAGAAATAATATGGTGATATGTATATGTATAAGTGTAGAATATGTTTACTTAATATTGAACAAAATAGATTAATTTTTTTACTTAATTAGATATCTAATACATCAAGTGTCGTATCAGTCGTGTTTCACAGTTTTTTAACTTTATATGTAATTTTAGAATTTATATAAATAATTATTTATTTTTATTACATTGACAACATACCAATTAGATTTGAAATAAATATCATTTTTAAAAGAATACAATTTATAGTTTTATCTGATATAATTTAATTTAGTTTGATAAATAAATTTCTTACTGTTTTGTATATTATATATATATATATATATATAGGGTTGGGATCCGGTGAAAATGACTCTTAATGCGAGAAATAGGAATAAATCGTAGCCACTAGATCGGATGATCTAATGACTAAAAAAAACCAAAATTATACCTTCATTAAGGATGTATTGGTAATTACTATTACACATCACCATGCCACATCACCCACCCCACACACCTAACACATACAAATCACACGCACACACACACCTAACACACTCACACACACTCTGCACACACACCCACCAGACACACACTGTACACATTAATAACACACACTGTACACATTAATTACACACACTATACACAATACATTACCACACACACACACACTGTACATTAATCGCACACACACACACGCACATTCACACACATATACATACATACATACACGAAGCTCCTCCACTGTCGACCGCCGGTCTCCGCCGCCGCCGGCCGGTCTCCGCTGCTGTCACCGGCTGGCATCCTCGCCGCAACATACTGTGAGCACGCACAACCCCACACACACGCGCCGGCGCCACAACCAGCTCCGTCGCACCCGCCGCTGCCGTCCACCTTCAAGTTTTCTTCCGCCCCAACCGCCGCCTTTCTCCACCACCATCGTCCACCTACAAGTCGTCACCGTTTTCTTCCGCCGCTGCCGCCCCCTACATTTTTCGATTCCGCCCCTCACCCTCGTCACGACTCTCCACTTCAGGGGGACCGTCGCCAGTTTTCAGAGGTCGAGACGACATCTCTTCCACCACCACGCGCCGCCGGATTTGCCCCTCTCTGCGACTGTCGGCCGGCAGGGGCCACACCGGCGTCATCGGAGGGTCCGTCATGACCTTGGCTGAAGTCCGGTTTCCGAAAAAATGGATGAAATCGGACTGTAAATTTGGGTCTAATTTTTGGGCATGTATTTGAGAATTAGAGAGTTTCGAGGGTCTCATCAATTTAACTCTAGGGTCAAATCTGTAAATATAAAAAAATATTATTTTGAATATATTTTTTATACATATATAAATTATGTATTTTTCAACAAAAAAGAAGTGTATAAAATATTAATTAAAAATATTAAAATAATAAATATATTAATATACTATAAATAATAATTATTTCATTATTTATACTAATAAAAATAATAAAATATTATTAAGATAATATAAAATATTAAAATAGTATATGACACATTGCACTTTATGATGAAAAAATTGCACTTTTGGGCATTTGATATTGCACTTGAACATAACATATGTACCGACCGAAATGAATTGGAATATATATGTACATATATTTTTTTTGTAAAGTTTATATAGGTCGATTCAGTTGTTCTTTTTTACTATTCAGTTAATTATATATATTTTAATTATTTAGGTTAATTCAATGTATAATTATACACATAATCTATACATGATTTATCTGAGAAATTATAAATTAGCTAGTGCACTTTATATACATGTTACGTTGCACTTTATACGGTAATATGTTGCACCTTATAACACAACATGTTGCACCATATAAAATATTTCATAATATTTCATATATTTAATAATTATAAATACAAAATATCTTTATTAATTAAATAAATCTTTTGGTTAATGCAAAATAATTTTTATTAACATACACATTATTAAAAGTTTCTTCAAAATTGAAATGCACGTATCAACCTCGATTAACATCCACATTTTATATTTTGGTTCGATTTACTTATTTATAGTTTTACATTAAAAAACTCGATTATTTTGGTTTGATGTCAATTTTTTCTTTATTTTTTATTTTTTACATTGAAAAAATAATTGCACTTTGAATGTGCATTAGCGTCATACTGATTGCATGTTAGTGTCTTCTGAATTGCACTTTAACTATAGACAGATTGCACCTTAGTGATTATTAGATTGCACTATAGCAACTACACCCGACTGAATTAATTTTTTTTGTTCGAATGTTATGTCGAGTCGATTATATGTGTTTACTTTTAAAATTTTAGTTATTTCAGATCGATGTCTGTTTTATTATTTTATTTATTTAATTTTTGTTTAATAACCGAAATATATAAAAATACTATTTTTTATATTTTTTTATAAAAAATTATTATTTTTTTCGATCAAAATAAATAAAATGTGAGATAAAAATATTAAGGTGCAATTTACATAACAATAATGTGCAATTTTAATTATCCTAACGTGCAATGTGCATAACATTAATGTGCGAGTGTTTAATTTTTTATAAATTATAAAATTGACCCATATATTGAATTGTAGTATACTGAAGTTTATAAAATTGCAATTAAGTGCTTTAAACATATCAAATTTTCAAAAAACAAGCCACAAAATCTAAAAATGCAAAATTGATGTATGTGATCTGCCTTCTGCCGACAATGGCACGGCGGGGCTGTGGCGGCGGGCGAGGGCTGGCTCGGTATGGTGGTGGTTCTCGCCGGCGACCTGCAACTTCTCCGGTGAAGAGGTGACATGGCGGAGATGAAGTGTGCCGGCGAGGCGAGGACTCTGTGGTCGGATTGATGGCGGAGGCGATGAGGATGGAGGATGGCGGTGACCTGCGATTGGAGGATGATGGCGGACGGCGGATGGCGGAGGTGAGGCGAGAATGTTGTGGCCGGACGGATGAGGCGAAGCGGCGGACTGGTGGCTGAAGGAGGAAGCGAGGTGGAGGTTGGTGACTGTCGACTGGAGCACCTTCGCCGTGAGCTTTGCCGGACTTGACGGACGGATCGCTACAGCGGTCTGACGACGACGGCGACGTGGTCGGCGGACTCGTTGCAGTTGCGGTGGCGGTGGCATGCCGGAATCGGTGTGGCAGGCCGTGACCTGTGAGCTTCCGGCGGCGGGGGGAGAGAGAAGGGAAGATGGAAGAAGGGAAGATGGAACGGGAGAGATAAAAGAGAGGAGAGAGGTGATGCAATGAATATGGGTGGGGCCCACTGGTTTTGATGATGGGTCAAAATTACATATTTGCCCTAAATGGTTATATTTGATCCAATAATGTTCAAATATTTATAATTATGCCACTGCAATTTTGACTAATTTTAATTAGTTTGACTTCACCATGGCCATTAATGTTGTAGATCCAATGATCCAAATTCATTCTCATTTCTCGCATTAAGACTCATTCTCATATATATATATATATATATATATATATATAGTAAAATACAAATAGACTTCATAATATCAATTCAAATGCAACACATTAATTAAGATTTTTTTTTCTTGACAATATTAACCTTATTTAATGGATGTTATGGGAAACGATGGAGATGGAATATGAAGAGACACTGTGTATTAGATGGAGGGTTAAAAATGAAAAAATATGAACAAAATATCTAAAACGATAATTTTATTTTTTAATTAATTTTAATAAATAATTTTGTTATTATTATAAAGATAAACATAATTTATTTATTTTATATATACAGTATGGATGTCAAATCGAAGCTCACCAAAAAATGATTAATTTGATATATTATATATGTAAAACCGATAAAAAATACAAAATTATCAACTTTTAAAATATATTTTCAGTTCAATGGTTATAATAGGAAACGGCATTAAAATACAATTAATATAAATATTAATTATCAAAGTTTAACTCCAAAGTATGATTTTTTGCCAAATAGGATTTCGAAGCATGAGAATTTGCCACGTAAGCTCAACGCATTCTGAAATTATACATAGAGGGGATAACGAAATTTTCAATAAAAAATTCTACATATAATTGTTGTGATATATGTAAGACTTGTTTTAAAATATAGAATATTACAATTTTGTTGTGATTCCAGCTTATTAAGTTTTGTCACTGGAGTGTAATAGTTTAATATATAATGTATTAGTAATTAAAAATTTTGACCATAAGCAATTATAAAAATTGGCCAATCAAAAAAAGATAATGATATTGTTATATATAGGACCAATCGACATAGATATCGTGACGTGTAATTGAAAAATTTTCATAATCAATAACGATTTATTTTATCTTATTTTTGTATGATTGAATTTAAACTTTCTTTAATGCTTAGTATAATCAAAATGACTTCGTTCCAACATGTGAATGGGTAAAAGAGTACTAGTTTCAATACTAAGAAATATTATATTTTTTAAATTTAACAACTATTTATAGATTCTTATCAAATGTTTCATACAAAAAAAAAATATTGTATGGTTATCATACAGTATCATAATAACAAAAGGAAAAATACATAATATATTATATAAAAAGTTTAAAGAAAATTATAAATTTCACGCATGCATTTAGCTTAATGCATTTTTTAAAATTTTCAAACAAAAAAAAAATCAGAACAATATTAACTAAGAGAAAATTTTATGCTAAAAAATGCTATTATTGAGCAATATTTATTAAGGTATACATCCCTAAATATTTTAATTTGTAAGGTATTGGTGATTGAAAATTTTATCCACAGCTTGATGATTTAAAATTGACCAACCGAAAAAGATAAAAAGACTGTCATACGGAGAGAACTAGTAGACATATATACTATCGTGAAGATCGAAAATTTTCGTATGAATTAACTTTATTTAATAATTCTTCTTAACAATGTGAATAATAATTTCTTTTAATTTTTTTGTATGATTTGAGAATAAATTTTTATTTAAAATACTTAGTATAATCAAATTGACATCCCGTATAACTGCAAGTGCATGGATATGAGCACTAATACATATGAACCAGAACCATGGACAAAGGTTTTGTTCATAAATCAACTGACCTGAACCAACAATTAACCTGTCCAATTTCACCCGGTGACCACGCAGACGGAAACTTCACTTGTATTGGCCGAAGAGAATTGTAACAAAATAGTGATTGAATAGACGCAATAAGATAAGAATTGAAGGCACGTGCAGCCACAATAAAATAAAATAACCCAAAAAAAAAACATAAATATAGAAAACAGAGGTGGTCACGGTGAGAATCCAACTAGTCGATTGTATAAAGAGTTGTTTGCCAAGCTATCCCTGAACACGGGACAGTAAAGATGTGGTTTTGAGGAGTGAGTTGCCGTCTTAAATGTCATATCAAAAATTGGTGAACTCAGCTAACAGCCTATTAAGCATCTCACATTGAATAACATAACAGATTGTGTCCTTTAATTTGACTTCCTTTTCTGGTTTGTATTGATGAAAGACAAGTCCGTTCTAGAAAGTAAGTCTGTGAACACTACCCTTCACCTGGATTGTTGTACACAAGTGAGCATCACAAAGTTGAGCTAAACCCAGGGATTAATATTCTTCTTTCTTGTTCCGCTTCTTTTTGAGCTGGATGTGGAGCCAGCTTTCTGCCAACCAAAGACTCGTAATGTAATTTTTTTGTGGAAGAAAAAATGTATGATGTTTGCATGCACGTTTNTTTTCTGATATGAGTCTTACCGATTTAGATTTCTTGGTCTTCCCGCGAATTCTATTTTTTGGGGATTTTAACTTGTATATTCGGACCATCCAATGGTGAGTGGTGAACACCTAATTGTAACACCAAAATGGAAAAAGTTAATTGAAAAGCAAAACAGCAGCAAGAATCAGTACTCAGTAGTCTATCCACCAGATTTCATCACAATGAGGAAAAACGCATATGAAGCTTTAATGGAGAATTAATTAGGCTGGCTTCATAGACGACGAGTTTGTGACATCAACTTTACCTCTTCGAAGTGGGTGAGTTTGAAATACTTCTTCCCAATTTCAGTATGTCTAACCCTATCAAAGCCTTTTCCATCTGTCTCCACAAATCTGCAAGATAAAGCAAAGGCATATGATGACTTTCGAGAAGAAAAAAAAAAAACAAAAACAAAAGTTAATAGATACACAGGACAACTCGGCACCTGTAATATGAAAGTTTGTACATGAGGCAGTTAAGCATAGTTGGAGTTGCCTCGGAATCAATCCTGTACTGGCCATCTCTCTGTTCAACACAGATGAAATTCAAAAAATAATTCTCCATTTTTGTTCAGTTGAAATTAAAGGGACAACCAAGAGCTAAATATAGGCAGCAGGGCATCACTGAAATTAAAACCATCACTCGGCAAAGTGAGATCCATAGGACTCGACACATGTATTTCCCTTACTAGCAGCAACATAAAATCTAGGGACACCGAGACGTACGTGAAAATAGAGAATCTCTACAAGAATTGTTCGACTACTCAATATATAAGCTCAACAAATAAATGTGCTTCAAAAGTAGAACTAACGTCTACTTGAACAATAACAAAGCACAGATTCAGAACAATTTAACTTCCGAAACTACCATTTCATAGCGCATGATATCTCTCAGTAATAACTACCACATTCGGGTAAAGATATGGTTATATCTGCAGTCTTTCATACTTTACACCCATCAAGATGACTATACATACTTAGTCATTAGCCACATATTGTGAAGGTAAGCCTGATGGAAGTAAATGTTCCATACTAAGTATGAATGAATAGATTTGAAATATTTTAGTTTAAGTGGAAAAGGTTCAAAAAAGAAGGAACAGAAAAAATAACACAAGAAAGAAAAAATGAGGCTTAGGGGTTTCACTGAAAGGATAGATGTTTTAGTCAACAGATTGTCAAGCAATATCCTCAGGAAACTGAATGGTGAGAAATGGAATTAACACTTGAAAGCTAAAGCTACAGGTGATGACATAACCGAAGCAAGTAACAAACAAACTTCATCAAACCAAATATACTACTTATTAAAAGAATGACCATATCTTACCATCACATAGATTTGCTTGTTATAAAGCAATGAATTGACAATCCACCATTTTACAAGACAGAATAATAAATCAGAAAAGGATAGCAGTCCAGTAGTAACTACCTACCAAATAATCAGGTTCCTTGATGTGAGGAAATACACCCCCGCCTATCCGAACCATCCAGAGAAACTTGTTAATGTCATCACTTGGATACCCAACAAGCCCTAAAGTGAAGATGCAACTGTTAGGACAATATTCACATCAAGAAAACTCTTCCAAAGTCAGGAATTAAGAATTAACCTCCAAAAACAACTAGAACATATTTCACATCCAATGAGTTGAAAATATCCCAAGCTGCCTTCTCAGGGGAGGACATTGCTGTACCAACAGTAGCAATGTGTGTGTTGTTCCAGGTGTTATTGTCAACAATAACAGTGCGGTTTGCCATTGCAGTAGTTTGGTAACCATAGTCCCACCAAGATGCAACCTTGGAAAGATCAGAAGCAACAAGAACCAATAAGTTTTTGATTCGGATGTTTGCAGATAAAGTATAGCAGAAACATATTACAACTATGCTAATTGTGCAATCATTCCAAACCAGAAAATCAGCTTTTCGGACATATAGACAACAAAATATTGTCACATTTGGGAATGTGTGGACAAGCACATTTAATGAAGATAGAGTTTCGTGAGCACACTACCAGGCTTCATCAACACTTCCCATTCAATAAGGTATAATAGCTCGGGAAATAATGATATATTGAGGACTTTTTCCACTACACTGTGCTACCAAGATGTGGAATCATGTAACTTGCTTAACAACAATTTTTGCGGAAAAAAAGAATATAGTCAATCATTAATGAACACCACAAAAAACTATATTACTGTTATAAATAGCAAGATAGGAGTACCAGTGGTTATTATGCTAAGATAATACTCAACTCTACTATTACTAACTCAATGAGGGCATTTCAGGCAATTGCTAATGATAAAATAATTTAACAGTGTCATAAATTCGCAGATATTTACAATAATAAGAAATATTTAGCGAAAGGAAAAAGAAAATAGAAAGGGGGAAATTAGCTACTTACTTTATCGTCCACCTCCGTATTATGACTCAACCAAGAATATGCCTCTCGGAAATCATCAAAGACGTGAAGACCGTCACGAGAATGGGAAGTTAGCACAATGGATGGAGCAGAATAAGCCTCTGCAGCAGCCCACACACAATGGACCTACAACAACAATTTTCCTCAACTATCAAATGTGCATACAACCAGCATTAGATGGGCAACAATGTGATAGATACTACCACCAATTGGCAATCATAATTTATGTAAATGTATTCACAAACATTTAAAGGTGCTTCATATTATATAACCATGCGGAACTAGATTTAGTCAAAATGTCAAATTGCTAAATGGGCTGCCATTGAGCTTAAAACATAAAACCAACGGAAGCTATATCCAAACTGATGGTAATATATAGAGAAAACTTGTAGCAAATATATTCAGTGTCTTTAGTGAACAAGATCTTCAAAAGCACTAACTCTTCCGAATTCATATGTAATCGTGCGACGCGCGAAATTGCAAATTCATGCTTTTCAAGGATCCTAGACATGTTTACACTAACAAAATTCATGATGAACGAAAAGACATCTCATATCAATTCGACAATAAAAAAAAATTAGTCGAGAACAATCCAGTAAAACTTGCTCCTGTGTAGCACCAATGGGAAGTAATAGTGTCCAATTTCAGGCTAATCGAAAAAACAACATTCAATCAGGATCTTATCACATACCACATAAAAAGCACCCAGCATAACAAGTAAGAAAACGGCAAAGAGCGAAGTCTCCAATGGTAAGACCAGAAGCCTCCGTTCTATACGGGATACAAGTGAAACTTTCTCTACACTCTCCTTTTCCTTCTTTTTACTTTTTCTGCTAGACCGGTCCTTTAGTGGGTCCTCATTCTTCTCAGTCTTCACTGCATCATTTTGCGTATCATTGTTGGTATCCCCTGTCTTAAGGTGATCACAGACAAATTAAACCATAGTATATAAATCAGTTATATCAATTACACCAAGGATGGATTGTTTGCTTACATTGACATGGGGTTTTTGGACTGTATCAAGTAAGTGAAATTTAACTGATCTAGTAAAAACATCAAAAGCTTCTGAAAGAGCAATTCCAGACATTATACAAGCTGCTGGAGCAAGAACAAGCATCAGACGCACCTAAAACGTTTCGAAGGAGGAAAGTTAGTAAAGACTTAGGAGAAGAATAATAGGGAAACATGTGACTCGTGAGTTTCAAGAAAAAATCCCATACCATGACACCAGAAAAATATACTGATGTGACAATATAAAGAACCGCGAAAGAGCTTGCATCAGAAAGCGGCAAAAAGCAGGCCTGTCAGTTTCAAGGGCTATTATTATCAGTTTCAACAAGGACATTATTAATTATTAAAGCAACACATGAAGAATCGATACATGAAAGTTTGACAAGATTAATTCCACCTCCAAATATAATAAGAACTTACAACGATGCCAGCTGGAACAAGAAATGCCAAGACATTAATGTCCATAAAGTACGACGGCCATGTAGGCGGTTGATGTTCGCTAACACTGGCAATAATTGGTATGTACTTGCTCGCATATGTTCTGTTCTCATTTTCGTTTCGGAAAGAAAATACAAGGTGGAAAGAAAAATAAAGTATGTCAGCTGCTGCCATGAAAATAATTACAGATAGAACAACGAAGGAAGCTGATTGACTCAAGGGCTTCCATAGAGAATAAATCTAAATTAAATATATATTATCAAATTTACTATGAAACCTAAATCTAACAGGCCTTCGCCTTCCCCAAGCGCAAGCATCGATATTTCTTACGAAGTTGACTGTCTGCATTTGCAGATAAGCAGACACTAACTTCTTTAACGACATTCCAGTGTATGGCTTATATAAAAAAGAACTCGTGATAATTATGAATATATATGATAAACAGAGATCAGAAATCGACATGATAAATGTCATGATAAACAGACCAAATGCATTTTTCATGATTAAACTGGAAACAGAGCTCAAATATACAATAGGTGTGCCCAATGTGACACAAGCACAGGGATATGTTGTATCTAATAAATACTAATATTCTTCCAAGCTCATCATCAGCTGGATATCAATATTAACTGAAAATTGATTTTAACCTCAATGCATATATTACTCTGATATCAACTGAAAATTGATTTTAACCTCAATGCATATATTACTCAACTAGATTCAAAGGCCAACAATAAAGTAAATTGATGGCAATAAGCTTGTTACAGAATCATTCCCCGAACGTTTCACTACTCACTGTCGCTAAAATATAATATTTTACTAATAAGAGATGGATCGGGTACATGGAACAAAACTGACTCAGAGCCTTCAGACAAAAAGGCCACAAATTAAAGTTTTGCATCCTCATACATCAAGGAACATGTATCTTTAATTGTATGCAACGAGTTATCACATTGAGTACAAGGTAAGATAATCAGGAACTCACGGATCCAGCAAGCTCAGACTTCTTCCACTCCATCCTTTTGTTGGGCTGGAAGCTACCAATGCTACTAGTACAGCCAAAACAGCGAAGCAAACAATCCTGAATAGTAAAATAACTTATAAGCAAACAGAGAAATTTTATGTCAAACTCTAGCAACATAATTGTAAATGAAGCTTCAGATATAAACTATCTTCTACAATTACAATCCACATAAAAGACCCGTCACTCAATACAATAACAGTTGAGGAAGGCATTACTAAAATGAAAGCTGTATATATATATAGACACACACACACACCCTGTGATGTAACAGAAAATATACAAAAAAATACCAATTGCAGTTAAACCACTGATGCTTTCTCTCAATATCCATAAAATATTTTATGCAAGAGATTAAAGAAAAGGGAAGCTTACAGCCCAACAGATACAACAAGAGTAACTGCTACTTTGAACATTTGGGGTGAGAGTATTCCTTTGATGTAATAAATAAGAGCCACGACATGTATAATGATGAAGACCTGAGCATTATCATTGGAAAAAACACACTCAATGATATACAACAACTAAATCAAAGTCCATTGCTTAAAAGGAAAACAAACATCAAACCAAGTTAAACACATTTAACATGCATACTTGATATAAAAAAGTTTAATTTATTTTCCCAAATCCAACAGAGAAGCAGGCCATATGTAATCCTCATAAGGCTTCAGATTCAGGTTCACAAAGAAACATTAGCTGGAGAATCTATTCTGGAAAATCAAGATGACTTCGAAATTTTATATTGGAAACTCTTAGTAATATGACCAACTTTTCAAAACTGCAATTGGCGGTTTATAAAAAAGTTTCGACTTACCATTTTATTAATGTGGTACGAATGATAAGACAGTATGTGGCATTTGGTATTTAAAGCTGAGATAATCTCTGCAGAAGTTTCTAAACTAAGGGGCAAACAAGAAATTTCTACGGTTTCTATAATTTAGATATTTAATAAAGACATGTGCACTTCCATACCTCCCTAAAGGAAACATGTTATACAACCTATTTATAAATAAAGTCCAATAAAAATACAATTAACATTGAAAGAACCTAAATGAAGTCACAAATATTAGAAATATATAATTTAGCATGTTATGTCTTCTAATATCTAATTAGAAGTCACTAACGTGGTCATTATAGAGTGTTTGCTTTTTTTCTCTTTTTCTATCACTATTGATATTTACCAACTAGATATTAGAAGCAGTACAAGAGTTTCAATGATATTACAAATAATAATCAAACTCTGAACTACTTCCCGAATTCAAAAAACCAACAAATATTGTAGCCAATATATAGATGAAAGACCTTCCAAAGTAGGCATACTCAAACAGATAACATGTCCACATCTAAAAACTATTAGGTTTGAAAGCATTCTACTAAGAAAGCAATAAATAAACTCATGACCTATGTCAGAATATCAAACCATTATCAAGAAAATAATGTAGCCAATACAAGAAGGTATCAGTTGACATAAATATTTTTTTATCATTTTGAAATGGCTATTACCATTTTCAAACTACTCACAAAAATGAGATCCTGCAACCTATTAATTTATAACTTCTTTCCAATAGAAATCAACATTTTCAATTTTTATCATTCAATCACTAGCATATATCACTTACCAATCACACTTTGATATTTTCATATGAGGCGCCAGTAGGCTCACTACCACTACCTATAAGTGTTAATCCAAATTAAAGTGATGAAAGTGGACCCCAGCCCTAAGAACTTCAAATTAACATATACATAAAAGCATACTTCAAAAATTAACCAACAAGGCAATCTCCAGTTTCACAAGAAATCGACAATATTCAAAATTCATTTTCAGCACTATAAACTCGACATTGGTCGTGGAAACTTTAGCCTTAAATCTCCAAATTCACAAGAAATCAACAAATGCTCAAAATTCATTTTCAGCACTATAAACTGGACATTGGGCATGGAAACATAAACTTACAAGAAATGATGCAAAATGCTCGGATGTCATGACAGCATTAAAACCTACAACAGGCACCAAAGCTGCTAACAATGTTCCCAAGACAACCTGCATTCCATTTCGTAATGGGGTAGTAACAGTTTAGTCTATGAACAGCACATATAAAGTAAATATCAAATGTAGGTAGACATACTCACCTACTTCATTTTAAAAATATAGACCAATCAAGCATATCAGTAAAGTGTATAGATAATTTATATTGTATCTCAAAGATTTATCAAATGCATAATCAACCGTGCAACTTCTAATTACCAATCACCTACTACAAGTGACAAACAATAGTGACATTAACAATGAGAGGGTGTTCCTCCAGCAGTTACATGCCCTTCCCACAAACTTTATTGCATTCTCTAAGTCCATGTTCTTTTACTTCCCCAACCAAGTGCTACTTTCAAGATTCACAATGCGTTTTTCTAGCACACAAAATCTCCATAAATTCTCCTCAATCACACTACTTCCAGAAACATTCTGAATCAATAAGCCAACAAACTTAAAGTGTAACCATGAAAAATCTCATAATTATCAATGTGATTCAGTTTATGAATTAGTGTATTAATCATATTCAACCTTCATGTCTGAGGCAAACATACAAATTGACAAAGCACATCAATTAAATTATTATACACTACGATACTTACAAGTGGAGCATAAGCAATGTAGAGCCTTGAAGAATAGCGACCAGTAAAAATGCACAGCAGAACATGCATCGGAATGAGATTTATAATAAATGTGTATCCTCCCCAAGAACAAACCTGAAAGATATATGAACAGGATGAACATCTCTATCGTTCATGAAACCAGGAGGAAGGAACATAAGTTAAGAGAAAGCAGGCAAGCAAACCTACCATGTAAAAATATGCTATTGCATTTAAAGTAGCATAAAAAAGCGATCCTGTGTTCAGAGTCTGTAGTCAATGGAAGAACCATTAGTAATCCGAGCATTACAGAATTTCAAGCCCATCATTAAGAATGAAGAGATTCAGCATTAAACACATCAAAATTCACCTTTATATAGAGATAAAAAGTTAAAATCAAAGCAAATATAGCCACAGCTTCATTGTCATAACTGCCTGCCACAGATCGAGAGATATATGATGGCACCTGTGCAACAAGAAAAGTACATATGAATACTTGCATTGAACACCACGAATATATGAAAGTTCATTGCAAGATCAAATCAAATAATTCTAGCAAACAATATGCAGCGTAAGACATTAACTTTTTTCAACACATCTTCACCCACAACATGCAACATCACGTCACACCTTTGAAGAATTCGAAGAAGAAAGGAACGGATTTCATGTACTAACAACTGAAGAAAGATGGTAAAGAAAATCATACCATGGCTAAAAGAGCGGCAGCAGTCAACCCAGCACCAGCACCTTTGACTTCCTACATAGCAGACTTCATTTTTAATATCTAGAAAACAAGAACTCTTGTGCAAGTCTTAGCCTGGATGTCAACCATAAGAATGATCGGTTAAGTCATTTATTAGTCAAAAGAACCTTTGTCAGAAGGTATGTTGCCCATGAAGCAAATGCGGAAAAGATAGGAGCTGTAAAGACACAAACAGTTTCCACGGACAGGGGAATATTCAAGGAGTTAAATATCCTGCAAATAAATTTGAAAAATCACAATCAGTGATGACTACAAGAATGTAAACTAAGTGACAGCAGATTTTTTAATCTTTGCTCTATCGAACTCTTGAACTACATAACTTTTCTCTTCTTTCTTTTTTTTTTAAGCAAATGAACCACTACACAATGATTAGATCCTAAAATGGTAATAAACGAACAGTTATTGTCAATACTGCTACTTAAAACCAAAATGTGCAATACACACCTCCATAAAGTACCCGCAGTTAAGGTAAGTCCAGGGTAAACAGTTCCCCCAATAACGCGTCCAAGAGGATACCTTAAAGAAATAAAGAATTGCCTTACTTTGATATTAATCATAGTTGAACAGGAAAATACCCGTTCCAATCAAACAAGAATTATGTGCTTTCAGTAACAGACATTACCAAGTTCGGTCATCAAACCAATTCCAGAAATCATATACTCCACTTTTCGTAAGATACTGCAATCAACAAAATTAATGTCAACGTCCTTTTTCATCAATACAGATCCAGCCACAAGAGAGCACAGAAAAGGGAGTTATTTGCACATACAGACTAACAGGGAAGCAAAAAATTAAGAAATCAGACTGAACTGAAACTCATCAATTCAATGACCAGGTTAACAGTAACAATGCAATATACATTGTTGGTGAGTTAGAAATAACCAGTCAACATTTTTGGGACATCGGACAATGGGAACAAAGATTTCAAGGAATTAGAATCATCCAATCAGTCAGGTCCCTAAAAATTGGATTTTTTTCTTAGGACTTTCAAAAATCATGATTCATTGTAGCATCTTAGCACATGAATATCAAACTTTCACATATTCAGCTGAGCAACAAAGTTTTGATGAGGTGACCCTTCTCGTAAAACTTTCATACATGATTCTCTAGAAAAAATAACCTAACTTTCTAGCACGAACTTGTGTTCAGACAGAGAGAATTCTCATACATCCACCACACAACAACCAGACGTACCTGAGTCACTCTATAATTGAAATAAGGATCGAACTCGTGAATCACACTCTCGTACTTGATAACCTATCCAACAAAGAGTTGAAAACCAAACAATCGAATATATAATTAGTCATCGCCTATACTCAAAATCCCAGGCAAAACATTCAAACAACATCGAGCTGCATTTAAATGGAATGTTCAACAGATCGACGGAAAGTATATATCTGAACGAATAGAGATGCTGAATACAGAGAGCAAGGAGACAAAGAGTGAAGGGTTTTACAGAAAATAGACGGATCGTGAAAGCGAGAGCGCCGATTAGCAACAGAATGAAAAAGGAGAGCACATTTCCGAAAGCGTGGCGGAGAGTCGTCGGCTTTAAGGTCTCCGGCTCCGCCATTGACTCCAGCAATTCAGTCCTGTTACACTGTAAAAGTGGAAAATTTCACAAAACAACTAACGTACTCCGAGTGTGAGAATAAGAACGACTGAAGGCGGGTTTTGTGGCAGTAGACATCAGCAGAAGACTCCGTTGGGTAGGTAAAAGTATACTTAATAGACGTATATGCCCTTTGCAAAAGTACTTTTCTCTGTTTTTCAAGGTAAAATTCAAAGTAAAATTGATTGCGATTGGATAGTGCGAATGGGAAAGCAACGTGGCGTATTTTCATTTGCTCGTCTTACATGGAGATATTCTGACCCTAGATAAACATTTGGAGTAACTTTTGTTCATGGACAATACATATAACAATAATGCTATAGAGTGAGAAATTTTTTACAACTCAAATGACAACTGCATACGTGGAAGTTATTAATGTATAAAGTAAATCGCTATTCACCGCTCCTCAATTATTACGTACCGTCGCTCTTTTTACTATTTTGTTCTTAACATAAAACTCTCTGACTTCTCTCTACTCTCTCTATCTCTCTACATTCTTGATTTTCAACGAGCCATTTGAGCTTCAAAAAAATTCTGAAAAAAAGTCGAAAAAATCTTACGGACTGGGCAAAGTATTCTTTAGTAGGAAGGTTTTTTTTATTTTTTTTCCTTTTTAATATTTTATTTTAAAAAAATAATAATTTTGGAGCCGTCTTCCGGTCGGGAATACCGGACGCGATTGGGCCGTCCGGACTGTGATTGCGGACAGCCCAAAGGGCGACCGGTCGCCTTTACCGATCACCCACCGAAGGCGCCGGCATCTGCTGGCCGGACGCCGCCCCATCTCCTCGAGTTCCGGGGCCGGACGGACCGAAAACGCCCGGCCCCGCCAGCCGGTCATGAGTCGGCCGAAATTTTTTTTTTATTAATTATAATAATAATTATTATAATTTTTAATTATTATAATTTATAATTATTATAATTTAAAACAAATAAAATATTATATTAACACATACAAAATTATATTAATTAATTTATTCGATAAAAAAATTATTAATTATCATAATAACAATAAATTACTAAATATTATAAAATTAATTAATGACTATTATAATAGTTATTACAATAATTATTAAATTTAAAATTATAACTAATTATTATAATTAATTTAAATTTTATTATAATTAATTTAATTAATTCTTATCATTAATTTAAAATTCGACTTAAAAATGTTAATTAAAAGATATATTAAAAAATATATATATTAATAATTAGTTGTATTAAAAAAATTATATAACTATTTTGAAAGCAATATATTAAAAAATCATAGCGCCCGACCCTAGTACACTTGGCATAAACCAAGGTGTGAAAGATGGGCTCCGGGAGGTGGGCAGCGGAAAGCTCAACGTAAAGCACCTGATCGGTATCACGGAGGACCCGACAAGTGTAATCACGTGAGTGAAAGAACCAGATCTTATGCAAAATATTACCCACGCCCGAATGAAAGCCAAGGCGACGCGAGTAGTAGTCAAAAGAAGGGGTGCGAATCATCGGCTCAATAAAGCCAACAAAATCGAGTCTGTGGTCACGAATGAGAGAATGGAGGTGAGAGAGAGTAGCTCTATTCGCCAGGTCACGGCCATTCCAAGTAATGGATTTGATAGACATGTCAACGGTCGCAAGACCCACCGGACATAGTCCGCCTGTGGCGAGGCTGGGTCGGGCCACCTAAAGAATGAATGTGGCGAAAGGATCCAATAGCAGGGGAGACAGTCCGTCGCGTCGTGCGCTGCGTGGCTCTGGTCCTCGTAGACTGCCTGCCTCGGTAGGTGCTCGTGGCCTGCGTGTTGTCTGGCTGGGCAGTCTGACCAAGAGCGGCACTAGAGGGTTGCCCCATCTCCGGGGCTGTCTCCTGCCTGTCATAGTGCACAAAGGCACTAGATGCGAAGCTCTCGCACGAGACGTCATGCTGGGCGCGGTTAAGACCGCATGCCTGCTCGGGGATGGGGGAAAAAGAGGATCCAGCCGGCGGGGCAGTCCTGTGCTCGCCGCCAGAGGGAGGGTGAGGGCTGGCTATATGCTCAACCGAGCTCCTAATATCAAGAGAGAGAGGAGGGACCGTCTCATCCCTTTTCGGGGGAGCCGTGACGGCACTGGCCCTCAAATTTAGAGAGCGGTCTGGACTAGATGCACGTACGGTCAAAGGAGCAGCGTCGCGTGCACTGTCATTAGATAAATGGATGGGCTCACCCCTGGTCGAGGCATCCGGCTGGTCCATATCGTCGACAAGGAGGTCGTCGTCGTCAAGAAGCATGAGGTCAGTAATCCTAGGTGGGCCACTAGTGGAGGGTGCGCCCTCATTCTCTGCATGTGGGGAGAGAATAGCGAAGTACGAGTGGTTGGCCTTGAAGGCCGACTGAAGGGTCTGTCTGGGAAGAAAGCCCGTGGACTTGGGCTTTGGTCCAACTATGGCCAACTGCTTAGGCTGGTTAGGATGAGCGTCCTTCCCAGTTTGGGCAGTGGCGTCGATCAGAGCCTTGCTCTTATCCTTAGACCCCTTCGGGGTCTCGGGCGCACGGAGAGGGCTTTTGCCCTTTCCCTTGGGTTCCCTCCTGCCTTTGGAGGGCCCTGGCTGAGCCGCGCGATGACGCTGCGGAAGAGTGGGCCGTGGCTTATTGCCACTCGTGTAGCAATCAGCCGCAATGTGGCCCACATGACTGCACAAAGTGCAGAACGCGGGGATCTTCTCATAGATCACCCGCTGAACAAAGGTCTCCGAGCCCTGTTCAATTTCAATCTCACGGACGGGTTCAGCTCTAAGATTTATCTCGACGCAGAATCACACCACGTTAGCCCTCGTCTGAAGGGCCGTCGGGGCGTCAATACGAATCGGTTGTCCAATACACTTAGCAAGCGTAGTGATGGCAGCACGATCGTAAAGGTGGGACGGGGACAACAGGCGTCTCCGTCTTCGGGTTAAACCCGACATAATATTTGAACACCCTAGCTGGGCATCCACACAAATGAATCGAGGTCTTAAGCCAGACCTCGTTATAGTCCTTCTGGGAGGTGGAAAGACACAAGGAGGTGGTTAAAATTGTACCACTTAGATGATACTCTACCCTTAAACCCCAGTTTGCCTAATCCAGCAGATATATCTCGGGGGGCAGGGATAGCATATGAAAACTTAAAGACCAGGGTGTTAGCTAGTTTACCTGCAAGAGTGACAGATTCGACTTCAGTGTATTGGGCCTTCACCTTGTTTCCCTCCGAGCGGATGATGGTTCCGCAAGCATGTTCGTATCCCCCGTCAAAGGCGAAGTCCTTGGGTGTCAGAGAGGGCGGCGCCCGGCCCGCCCTCTCTCCTCCCCGTAATGGCTTCTCGAAAAGAAAGCGGGCCAGTGGAGGTGCTCGTCGGAGATGGCCCTATCGGGGAAGGTCTGGAGAAATGAGCCGTCGACACGGTGTTTGGGCCCACAACCACAACACCGTCTTCTCGCATATACATGATGTCCGGTTCAGAATTTCCGGCCGCAGGGGTGGCAGCTCCGGCGAGATGGTTGGACGGAGGAGGTGTGCTTGGGAGGGGACCAGGAATTCCGGCAAATGGCGCACGAATGTTCCCGGAAGTGTTGCCGGCGGTTTTGGAATTTTTGGTGATGTCGCCGGTGATGTTGCCGGCGCCGGCGCTGGTGCCGGCGGATGGATGCTCGGCGGCTGTCGGCTGTGAGATGTCGGTAGCGGGCTTTGAGATGTCGGGTATGGTCTGATTGGTGGCGGGCTGTGGAGGTGACTGAATGGCGGGCTGAGTGTGTTAAGAGATTGTGGAAGTGGGCTTGAAATGGCATGGACGATGGGCTGTGATATGGGAGGAGAGAAGTTGGTCTGAGCGGGCCCAAAATGAGAAGGTTGATTGGTGGGCTGAAGTTGGGGCTTGGATGAATCTGAATTGGGCCTAGGAAAGTGGGATAAGGTTTGGCCCATTATGCTAACTGAATTAAGAGGTAGTGTCCCGACAACAATCGGGTCTTCAACCCCTAATTGGCCATTGAAATAATGAGCTGAGGGCAAATGAGGATGACCAGTCAACGAGGCGGCGGTGTTCCTCATCTCCGGAGAGATGAATTGCAGTGATGGCTGAGGTAACCCGATCGCGACCGGTGCCTCTTCGATATCTAAGTTACGATTTTGATAATCTAGTTTCGGTACAGAGGAACACGGCGGCTGTGTCGTGCCACCTCCTGCTTGTGCCGACGAGGGACCCTGAGTCTTATTTTTAGTTGCGACGGAAATGTTTTGTTGGGACACCGCGAGGAAGCCGCTGAGCTGCGAATTTTTTTCTGCTAGATTTTTCCCATTTTTTTCATTTTTTCCGTTTCCTTGATACTGGAAGTCGGGCTAGACTGGATACCAGACTTCGGTTGCTGGATGTCGAGGCCTTCGGCTATCTCGCCCTCTTCCAACATATTTTTTTCTCCTCCTACCATTGGTGAGGATTTGCTTTTTGCGAGAAAAATCGAAAAGGCCTCTCGGATTTCTGGCTGTGAAATGAAAAGTTCCAGCTGCGGGTTATGACTGGACTGAGCAACTGGAATGTGGGCTGTGAAATTAGCTGTAGGGGCCATGTATGGCCAAAAAACATAAAATAAAATAGAGGACTGATAGGAGAAAGAAAACCGGATGAAGAAAATGAAACAAAAAAAAGAAGTAACCTCGGCGGCCGGGGTTGGGNTAGTCTGAAAGTCAAAAACAAAAACAAAAGAAAACAAGAAAAAAAAACCGAAAAATGAAAAAGAAACAAAAAACTACATAATAAAACCTAGCCTTTTGTGGCTAGGTTGGTTGTCTTTTGTTGCTAGGTTAGTTCTTTCTTGCTGCTAGGTTAGTTGTCTTTTGTTGCTAGGTTAGTTCTTTCTTGCTGCTAGGTTAGTTGTCTGATGCTGCTAGGTTAGTTCTCTGTAGTTGCTAAGTTAGTAGTTGCTAGGTTATTTCTCTGTAGTTGCTAGGTTAGTAGTAGCTAGTTTAGTTGTCTGTAGTTTGCTAGGTTAGTTCTCTTTAGTTGCTAAGAGTTGGTTCCATTTTAAGAGGTGGTCCCATTTGATCCGCCCCCTATATATATACATATATATATATATATATATATGTATATACTAGTATTCATCCTGTGCACATGCATAAGGAAAATTAAAAATATATATATTATATGATGTATACAATATTTAAATTATTATAAAGATAATAGATGTATTACATTATAAATTTTGACTACATGCAAATTTATAATGTAAA